AGAAGGAAAAGAGAATGGAGACTGAAGGAGAGGGGCTCACTTTGGGCGCCTGCTATGTGCCAGTCAGTGCTAGGGGATTTAAATGCATTGTTTTATTTACATTTCTCCTGTGGCATAGGTTGTTGTTACCCATATTTTACACATTAACAAACTGACTCAAAAGCCCCCACTTTTTTTTAATCTGTTAAATGAAGGACCTGGGCAATATAGTATTTAAGGCCCATTTCCATAACATCATTATGATTCTGTCACATACTGATTGTCTTAAACAATAGTTGCTTCTAATATTGAAAAAGGAAGTTGCCATCCCACTCTAGGAAATGTCCGTCTTATTAAGACCAAGAGTACTAACACCTTATTTGTAGAAGTTACGAAGTAGGGCAAAGGCATTTAAAGTAGTCACGATGACAGATCTTCATATAAGTTTTAAGAGAGCCCCATTACCTCCAAATGAGGCTGCTGCCCAGAATGTTAAAGGCTGCTGTGGCTTTTATTCACAGGGGCTCAGGATAATAGCTTTGGAACACCTCCAGCCCAAACAAAGGGTAATCCTGTTATCCCATTATACTTTTCTGTTGAGAGCATTTGTTTCCTGATTATTAAGAATCCCTTCTTTCCTTGCAGGGAATTTAGTGTGAGATTTGCAAGAAGATAGTGAAAAATATATTTTAAGGACAAGATTCACTGTTGTAATGTGTTTTGACATCTTTAGAAAGCCAATGGACAACCCTAAATGTTTACCATGTGATTCGCCCACATGTTGTCTTCAGACATGCATATAGATGGTTTAAGTGGATACCAGCATCCTCTTTTGGTATACAGCACCCACCATAAGCATTCCTAGGTATGTATACATCAGCAGAGTAAGTACATTTCCAGGCTTTGTCACATCTGTTTTACACTAATTCACTCATAAACATCCTTCAGCCTTTCCTCATTCACACCTTATTTTTTTAAAAATGGGGAATTGAAGGAAGGGGATATACCTCTTTTTTGAACTTTCATTTTATTAGCTTTTCTTGCATGGGAGGAAGCCAACCCAGGGAATATCGGCTCCCTGGTTTTCCTCCTACCTCTCCTCATCTGGTTTTGGTGGTTCCTCCTCTATCCAGCCTATAAATGGTGGTGACCTCAGGGTTTGAGTCTGGCTCTTTTCTCCTTTCTCATGCCCTTTTTCTAGATGATGCCAACCACCCCCAAAGCTTTTAATGTCATCAAGTGATGATGGCTCCCCAATTTTTGTTTTTAGGCCTGACTTCTGTCCTGATTACTTATCTCGTATGTCTTCTTAGATCTGGCAGGTATTTCAAGCCTTTATAGACTGTCACCCTCTCTTCAAAGTAAAAACCTTACATTGCAACCCAGTATATACACATACCTTACCATAAATAACATAAACAAAAGTTTCATAAACAATAATTACCCCCAAAACATACATGCCATGCTTCCTGATATTTTCTGTGACCCAGAACATTGGTCGTTGCCTATTAGTGAATTTTGACCCACTATTTGAAAAACACAATTCTTGAGCCATTGTAGATGTTTTAGAGATATTTCAGGTTGCCGGGAGGGAGCCTGCCCATGTATTTGAGACCATAAATATTTTAGAGTGCAGTAAATAATTATAAATTGAAAGAAGGCATGAATAGATTCCTTGCATTTCACTGTGTCAGGAAGCCAAATTTCTTGGGCTGCATCTCCTCTTATCTAGTCACTGGTAATCTAACCACTAGCTGGATACCCCTCCTAAGAAATTACATTTTTACATCTGGATAAATGGGATTACTAATTATTTTTAAAAGTGTGAACCAAAACAAATCAGAATTCCAGGTGCAAACAAATGTCCAAATATATCACCCCCCCGCCCCGGTCTCCAGATGAGGCTGACTTAAGAGATTGTGGTCTCCTAAAACAAGTATGTATGTTCCAAGTTAATCACTGACTTTCAATTACCCAAGGTAAGTCAGTCTGGTTTCAGTTTGTTTATTTCTTTTTTTCCCTGAGAATCAAGATGAAACGCTCTGTTTTCTTTACCACCTGCAGCAGATCTCTGTCACCTGTTTGAGCAAAGTTGCTAAAATGAGGGAACTCTCTTCCACTGATTCCCACTGTATCCTCCTCTCCCCACACCACAGGGGATATGGCACACAGAGAAGGTGGTTGATCAGAGCCACTGAGGTTGACCAGATGGAAAGATTCATTATAGGCAACAACACCTGTATAAAGGTTATCATAGAAGAGTGAGCACATCAGCTCTTGGAGACAGTGACTGTGGAATCAGTACAAGCAAGCTTTTGGTTATTCAGAATTATTTATTATTTAGAATTGGTAGGGATACATTCAGTGATTTACTGACATGTGAGAATTGTCAGATTATAGAGGACCAGGTTTGAATATATCTATAGCAGAATCCTATCTAATAAAGAGGGAATATGCTAAATGATCCTCACGCTGTTGCAAAGATGGCGGCACCCACAGCCAATAAGAAGGGGATATGCTAGTTGACTGCCCCACCCTCAAAGATGGCACCCACAGCCAATAAGGAGAGAATATGCTAATTGACTGCCATCCCCTCAAAGATGGCAGTGCCCACAGCCACAAGATGGTGGCGCCCAGTCCCCTTGGCCCTGCCAAGGCAGCAGGCATGCAGCAAGGCCCGGCCGCTCCTTGCGCCTGCCTCTGGAGTCCCCCAGCCCCCTTAGCCCCCCAGCTGCCCAGGGCTGGCCTGAGGCACAGGCAAGCCTCGGATGGTGACTGCCCAACCACCCAGGGCCGGCCCGAGGCACAGGTAACCAGGGCCAGCCAAGGCTTGCGCTGCCGGCAGTGGCAGCAGCAGAGGTGTGATGGCATTGCCTTCCCCTGATCAAAGGGTCGCCTCCTGCCCCTGAGGGCTCCTGGACTGTGAGAGGGAGCAGGCCGGGCTGAGGGGCCCCCCCCCCCCCCCCGCCCCGCTCCAGTGCATGAATTTTCATGCACTGGGCATCTAGTTTTATAATAAGATGTTACAGGTACTTACCTTTCACAATTCTGCTAGACTCACAGAAGGTTGACTAATCCAGTGTTCTCGGAAGCCTCCCCTTAATCCCAGTGTGTTCTCATTCTCATATTTTAGATCCAAAACAGCATTTATTCTAATGAAGCTTCAGAAAATAGCTTCTATCATGCTATAGAAATTTAAAATCGTCACAGTGACTTAATGGTTAGTTGACTAATTGGGGGTTTGGGGTTTGGGGGGAGACTCTAGCTATGCTAGGATGGGACCTAAAAATACTTTGCTAATAATATGAACACTGCAATGTTTTAAGTCATTCCTGAGGGGAGCTAAAAGATCTTTAAAGGTTATTAAAAAGATGCATTCTCCTATTTAACATTTGGCATTAACTTTAGAGGCCAGGATTACAAAGTAGTTTGCATAGCATATTTTCTATTTCAAAAGTATAATAGTACATTATTTAATCTATGGACTATCCTACACCACTCCCTCCAGATTTGAAGGGAATCTGATCTCAATATTGCAGGTGGGTATTTTGTATTTCCATTTTTGAATATTAGGTAACTTATATCAGGGATCGGAAAATTATGGCCCATTGGGCTAAATCTGGCCTGCCACCAGTTATCCTGCAAACTAAGAATAGTGTTCATATTATTTTAATGTTTGAGAAGGAAATTAAAAGTAGAGTAATGTTTTGATATATGAAAATTGTATGACATTAAAATTTCAGAGTTTATAAATAAAATTTTACTGTAATATATTCATGCGCATTAGTTTACATATTGTCTGTGGCTGCTTTTGTGGTACATGGCAGATTAGTTGTGGTAGAGACTTAATGGCCTGAAAAGTGTAAAATAGAAAAAGCCCTTTACAGAAACACTTTGCTCACCCTGGCGTGTGTGTATGTATATATATATATATATATTAAAAGAATTAGGGGCTTGGGTCATGCATGGAGCTGATTGGTCAGAGGAGAGTGAGGGTAAAGAATCATTTCTTCAAGTCTTGAGAACAATTTGGAGGTCCTTGACTTGGAGTTGAACCCACAACCTTTAGGTATACAAGACAATGCTTCAACCAACTGAGCCACCCAGCTGACTCATGCAAATCAATTGCGGGATCCAGTTTAAATAAGTACTACTTCACAACTTTGAGATATATATATATACACACACACATATATATATACACACACACACACACACATATACATATATATATACATATATATATACACATATATACATATATACATATATATAAATTTAAGTTTTTGGGGCGACATTTGTTAATATTTTGTAGCCTTTTGGAATGTAATGTTGTATTATGTCAGTGAAGTTAATAATTTGTCTCAATGTGGAATATCATGTTCATAAACATAGGTAATAAAGGTTTGGAGGTTAAAAACACGAATTTGTTCATATATATGAACAAGTGTTTGAAAGTGGCAGTTACAATGGTGTGACACAGAGATACAGCCATGCTTGATAGCATTGCTTAATAAGAGTGGAACATTCTAAACTTTGTTTAAGACTTGACAACTTTTCTTCTATTTTTGAAATATCAAATACATTTTGTACAATCACTTTCATTTCACCCTCCCTTGTGTGCTTTTATTTTAATCCAGTAAAGACTTTTCTTGCAGTAAACAGTGTGATTATGTTCTCGTATAACACTTAGTGGTTTTGGTACTTAAATTTACCTAATGGACTCATGACTGAAAGTTGGAGTTAGTTCTTTGCTGCCTTGCTAGAGAGCATGTGCAGACAGCACTGGGTTGAAGAAAAGTTCTCGAACCACCATATTTGGCAGTAAGTTGGGCACAGTTGTCTAAAATGAGGATGGTGTCTGTGTGATATTTAGTTACTCTTCCGTACAGCGCTTCAAACCCCAAAACCTATCTTGTATTAGCTGTCACTTATAACCTCCACTAGCACTTAGTGAGCTAGAAGAAAAAGGGTTGTTTATGCTTTTATGGAATACTAGTGGCCTGGTGCACGGATTCATGCACATTGAAAGGAAATTAATTAGAAGAAATATTTTAATATCGCTATTCGCCCTTTCTCTATAATAGAAAGGTCAACCAAATTCATGAATGACAATGACAGTTCAAAACACACACACGCGATTGGCATCAGTGAGAGCTTTATATGTATCATGCGTTTGTGAGTCAACGTTTATTTTTAAATTGCCAGTGCACATCATATGTACTGGTACCGGCCGGTTGGACGGTTGGATGGACATACAGTGGGTCACTTAGCCTTTTATATGTATAGATTTGAGCAATCCGGTATACTAGCCTGCAGCTGCCTTCCCCCACTTTATCTCTGTATATCTGATTTGACAGAATAACAACAGTGCCACATTCTAGTGTGCTCCAGCTAGCCCACATTTATCTGTAGGTCCAGGACAGTGATGGCGAACCTTTTGAGCTCGGCTTGTCAGCATTTTGAAAAAACCCTAATTTAACTCTGATGCCGTGTCACATATAAAATTTTTTTGATATTTGCAACCATAGTAAAACAAAGACTTATATTTTTGATATTTATTTTATATATTTAAATGCCATTTAACAAAGAAAAATCAACCAAAAAAATGAGTTCGCGTGTCACCTCTGACACCTGTGTCATAGGTTTGCCATCACTGGTCTAGGATGTATGGTATCCTCAACACTCTTAAAAACCCAACACAGAAGCCAGATAAGCAAAAGATAAACAAACAAAACCCCCACAAACCCTTGAAAAGCCAAAACTAGGTGTTACAAAGGCCATCTATTAGTTTTTCTCTTAACTAGGGGTGACCCCAAATTCTTTCTCAGAATCTGGATTTTCTGAGAAATCATTTTAGGAAGTCTGGCTATTGAGCTTATTCGAAAGAGGCATGGAACAGGGGAGAAAAGATGCACCATGCAGGTATATTATCAGCCAGGAGTGCCAGCTTGAGAAGATAGCTTGAGAAAGTAAAATCTTAAAAAAGAAGATAAAAGAACTTAGCAATAGCAGTTTGAGATCATTTGGTGTGGGACCAAAGCCCCAAACACCCCCATATCCTTGCAGGATTACTGTGTTACTGACATGTTTGCGTCCTCAGTGTGAGCCACTTACTGTTTATTAAGCATAATGTTGTCTTCTCACAGCAATTCTTGATGCAAGAAAGGTTAAATGCATACATTCTTTTTGTAGTTGAGAAAAGTGAGAGACAGATTTTCTCTAGCTTCTCCAAGATTAATCAGTAAGAATGGGAGCTAGGATTTGAACCCCGGTAGTCAGATCCCAGAGTTTATGCCTTTGCTATTATCTCCAACCCCCATGAGAGAATGGGCAGAACACAGGGAGGCAATATGATGTAGGGAGTGGTTAGACTACCTAGCTTCAGATCTCAGTTCTATTACGTTCTGATTTTTTAACTAATTTTAGTGCCCCATTTCCACACTTACAGATCTTAAAGTTGTTTGTGCTTCATCGTAAGAGTTGTTGGGAGAATTCAGCAAGACTTTGATGTAAACCACATTATGAAACATTTGCAGGAAAGTGTGAAAAGCATTTTATACCATCAAGTTAACCAACCATAGTCACAATTTTAGTGTTTTTCCTTTTTGTATATTCCTATATATTAAAAAAAGGTTTCCCTTATCTGCACATTTTTATATCTAGCTCTTTCTGGTTTGTCATTGTATGAAAAGCATTTTCATGTTATATACATTTTAGAATTATTTTTAGTGACCATGTATATAAACTAATGGATTTATCGATAAATATTTCACACACCCATTCTCTTTTTTTGGATATAGAGGTTGTTTCCAAGTTCTTATTTTAGGAATGGTGGTCAGATGAGCATCCTCCCTCTACTCTGCCTATATTTTAATCCCCCCCCCCTTCATATAGACTTCCAGAAGAGGAAACTGAGGGCCAAAGGATATTTTTATGGCTCTCTATACATACTGCCATATTGCCTACCAATTTCATATACCAATTACCAGCTCTAGATATTAACATGGTTTTATATTTTTGCCAATTGAACAAGTTACTAAAAGTTTGCCCAAACAAGTTGCCTTGTTTTAATATGAAAATTTTGGGTTACTCAGGAAGTTAAATATTTTCTCATATGTTTGCTTATTCATTACATTTCCTGTTTCATGAATTTTATTCCTATCCTCTTCACCTGGTGGTAAAAAGAGGGGGATGGGCACAGTGGTGGAGAGCAGGAGCTCTGGAGACATCTGGGGAATGAAATGTGGGCAGGTGCTGTTACCTTGCTGAGATTTTAGTTGCCATTTTGGGACATTTGGAAGACTTTATTTTTAGGAATTCAAACATTTTTTCCATGGTGATTTCTTTTCTAATTTACAGAACTTGCTGTACCTTTCCAGAGGTTTAATACTCAGTTCTAGTTTTCTTCTGGTTTGAAAATTATTTTAATATCTTTTAAAATTGATGACTTTTCCTGTTGTCTCTGCTTATTATGGTAACATCAGACATTCCTCAGGAATAAAATTTCTCACATTTGAAATTTTAACATTTGCACTGTATTTGTAGTACAACTAAATGTTCACAGGTGTATTGGGATAATGATGTTTAAATAATTTGTTAATGCCTTTACCTAAATTGCTTTTATTTAGAATTGGGTCAGAATTTATTAGCTATATTAACTAGTATTTGGCATGGTGATTTGTTAGGTTTTGGATATTATAAACAATTTTATTTCTTCAGAAGTAGTTGGTGAGACATTTATTTTTTATTCTTTTTCCTAAAGGTGAGTTTTATATAGGAATCTGTACCTCAAAAATCACATGGCATTGTGTACAGAGTGTCTAGGGAGTAATTAGGAGGGCAATCTGTTAAATCTTTTGCCTCAAGGCAAAACCATTAGGTGTGCTGTGTGTGTGTGTGTGTGTGTGTATGTGTGTATGAGCCTCAAGGGGTGTAAATAACCAAACCATTCATGTAATCACCAGTTTCCTTTCATTTAAAGGCATGTGTGGAACCTTTAATCTTGTGGGAGAATCAGAGGGAGTTGGCCTATTGAATCCACAGATTATTCTCCAAAACCTGAATATTTTGAGAAAGTGTATTTCAGAATTGACAAATTACTGGCTGAATATTAGGCATAAGAACTTTGTGAATTTCATTTTCCATTTTGGTGTGAACATCCTGAAGTTTTGTTATGATTTAAATGTCAACAGATCTCTTTTATGAACTCTTTTGTGTCTGCATAAAATATTTTTAAAAGATTTATTATTGATTTTTTTTTGGTAATTTATTAGAGATTAGGAGCAAATTACCATTTATGGATGGCAGAGATTTCTCACTGCCATAATAAGACCATCCTCAGAAATGAGCAGCATTCACTGTGTTTCTTATAGTACTTTTGGGGCATTATTGAAAGGAAGAACTTTTTCATAATACTATTGTGCATACATACTATTTAAACATGGGGAAATCTTTTCCGTCATAAAAAAAAAAATCATTCTTTCACACTGAGCCTTTCCATACCATTCCTTCTCTCAGTGACCTGTTCCCCCCCCCCTTCTTTTTCATAATCAAATTTCTTGAGAGTAATTATACCATATTTTTTCACCTCCCTCTTTATTATTCAAACTTCTGCACTCTGGTCTCTGCCCCATCACTCTTCTGTAGCTGGACCTGTTAAGGACACCAGTGTTAACTGATTGAAGTAGGCTTTCCTATGCTTTATCTTATTTGACAGCTCAGCAACACTCAACAAAGGTGACAACTTTTTCTTGAAACACGGGCTTTACTTGACTTTCATAAATCCAAGCTTTCTTATTTTTTCTCTTACCTCTCTGGTAACACAAGTCTTCTTTGTTGGGTTATCTTTTCTACCCACTTTTCTGGGCCCGTTTCTTACTTTAATCTACTCTCAAACTCCACATAGAAGCTTCAAATCTTTCCTTCTCCTGAGCTCCAGACTTCTGTAGTTCACTGTATATCTTTACTTGTTTGTCACACTTGTGACACAGACTTACCATTTTTCTTCCAAACCTGCCTTTCACTCTCTATTCCCTTGTCCTGTAACCAGGGTACCACTGCCTAATGAGTTATTCAAGCCAGAAAATCATCAGTGTGTTATCATTTCTACCACCTCAATATCTCTTCATTACTACTGCTACCCTTAAGTCCAACGATCATTGGTCTAGTTCAGTGGTCGGCAAACTGCGGCTCGGCAAACCGTGGCTTGTGAGGCACATGCGGCTCTTTGGCCCCTTGAGTGTGGCTCTTCCACAAAATACTGACTTCTGCGCATGGACCATGAAGTTTCAATCGCACTGTACGTGCGCGCCCGCACGCGGTATTTTGTGGAAGAGCCACACTCAAGAGGCCAAAGAGCCGCATATGGCTCGCAAGCCGCGGTTTGCCAACCACGGGTCTAGTTCATTGCAGTAACTTTTTGCTATCTTCCCTTGCCACACTTCAACTAACCCATCCTCTGTACTGTAAACAAATGATTTTTGAATATCAGTTGTGATCATGTTCCTTCCCTATTTAAAATTCTTTTGAAGGCAAACTTTTAAAATTTTTACTTACAAGGCTTCATGATTTGGCCCTGCCTACATCTTGAATCTCATATCTTGCTCCTCCATCCTTCAACAGAGAGGATGTTTCTCTTTTCGTATCTAAGATTTATAGCATTTAAATTATAAGATGTAGTAGAAATGAGTATTTGTTTTTAAGTATTGCTTATAAAAATGGTTCTTCAGTTTGTATTTTTTACTTATATGTAGGCAACCCAGTTTATGCATACATATTCAATGAGATAGTATAAGTTACATGTTTGTAAATTGTAAATGAAGTATGTCAAACTCGCAGCCTGCAGGCTGCATGCGGCCCACAAGGAATATTTTTGTGACCCAGCCAATATAACGGTATGTAAGACATGTTTTAATAAAAATTTTGTAATTTAATTTTTATGATATCCTGTTTTATATAATACTAGGAGCCCAGCGCCCGATTCAAAATTGCGTGGCGCTGTCCACCCTTGAGTCGCCGGTCCAGCTCTGCCTCTCTCTCCAGCACTTGAAGCAGCCTGGGCCGTTGCTGATCAGGCCCTCCCGCAGCACAGGTGCACGGAGGCCCCTACCGCCTGCCCCCGATGCTACGTGTGCAACCTCCTCCTATCCAGTCTACCCATTACGGTGTCCCGGTTAATTAACATATTTCTCTATTTTATATATATGGGTAATTAACAAACTACAACGTTTGCTAATGACTGATTACTATACTCGTGTTGCATTCATTTCCCTTATGCGCCTTATGTGCAGGCGCACCATTTCTCTCCACTAATACTAGGAGCGAATATTTTATGACGTTGCCACGTCATAGTCTTGTGCTGACTTGTTTGGTGTGAGCAACAGGAAATATTTTGCTTTTCGAGAACAAGAAAAATAGGTTTATTTGTGTTATGCTTATTAATTTGTGCAGTTATTCAGTGTCTGGTAAGTTAATGTTCAAGAAAAAATAATACTTTTTATTAAAATGTTCTGTTATTTCATGTTAATGATTACTCATTCATTTCAGCCCTTTGTATTCAGCATGTCTCTATGGAAATAAACCTACGTTTCTATGAAAATTGAAGCTTTTGTTTTTTTGCGGCCCATATAAACTTAAATCTTGTTTATTTGGCCCATGTTAGCCTTTGAGTTTAACATGCTTTTTGTAAATGTTAATGTAAAATACTGTTTCTACTTTTTGTTTCCATCCATCCATGTGAACTGAGAATGACATCTATTATACTCTAATGGGATTTCTATCAGAACTACACTCTGAATTTATTAATTTGGAGAAGAATTGACATTTTTTTAAAGAATATATTTTATTGATTTTTTACAGAGAGGAAGTGAGAGGGATAGAGAGTTAGAAACATCGATGAGAGAGAAACATCAATCAGCTTCCTCCTGCACACACCCCACTGGGGATGTGCCTGCAACCGGAATTGAACCCTGGGACCCTTCAGTTCGCAGGCCGATGCTCTATCCATTGAGTAAAACCAGTTAGGGCATCCATCATTTCTTTTGCTTCCATTTACATGGTGATAAAAGATACTATACACGTGGTAACAATTAGGTAGGAATTTTGGAGTAGAATGGACATGATTTTCCATTTTGGAGTATTATTGGAATAGGAAATTAGGAAACAGTCCATAAAACAAACCATTATGGTAGGAGTGATATATTCAGAAGAAAAGGTTGCTTAGAGCCTGGTGTAGATCATTTGTCTTTTTCAATTCTTTACTCCGATGTTTTTAGCTTCCATTTTAAGAAAGCATATGGTGACCATGGAATTATTTTCTGTTTCTATTTAATTTATGGGTAAACTCAGTGATTATGCTATTTTAACAGTGCTTCTGGCATTTATACATTTTTCATACAACCCTTTTGTCTATGAGCAAAGTTAATGCCAAACACTACTATTACCCATGAGGAAGAACATTCTTTGTGATTGGAAACATTTAATATGAAATTTGAATGCTCTAGCTTTGTCATGAATCAACACCATTCATACTCAGTGGAACAAAATTGCTGTTCAGGAATGTCCTGAAAAAGAAAAGTAATGAGAGGTGGGACCAGCCTTACAAGATTTTAGAAGATATTATTAAGCTACATTAATGACAGCTGTGATGAAGGTGTGTGTGCAGATATACAGTTAAATGGGGAAAAAAAAAAGAAGACTGGAAAGAGACCCCAAAATACACAGGACATAATAAAATTGGCATCTCAAATCAGTAAAATTGATTTAGTATAAATGGTGTTGGGATAACTGGGGAGCCATCTAAAAATAAAATAAAATTGAATCTATATACTTCTACCAGAATGAATTTTAAGTGGACCAACTTTAAATTTAAAAAACTAAGTCATAACAGAAATAGAGCTAAGTCATGGAGAAATTTTTTTATCATTTAGAATGGAGCTTTTTCCAAGTTTGATGTAAAACTCTGAAGTAATTAAAGAAAAGGATTTATAAATTAGACTTTATAAAAATAAAAAAGTTCCACCCTAGCTGGTTTGGCTCAGTGGATAGAGTGTCAGCCTGTGGACTGAAGGGTCCTTGGTTCGATTCTGGTCAAGGGCACATGCCGGGGTTGCTGGCTCAATCCCCAGTAGGGGGTGTGCAGGAGGCAGCTAATCATTGATTCTCTCTCATCATTGATGTTTCTATCTCTCTCTCTTCCTTCCTCTCAGAAATCAATGAAAATATATTTAAAAAATAAAAGTTTCTGCATATAAAAAAACCCCTAAAACAACCCACACAGGCAAAGTCAAAAGACAAGTTAAAAAAAATTTAACAACTCATCAAACATAATGGGCAAATTCCCTTAATGTATAAAAATTCAACAAGTCAAGAAAAAAACCCCAACAATTCAGTAGGAAATGTGCAAAGGATATCTATGGAAATTTCACAGAAATGAGATATAACTGGCTTTAAATCTAAAGGTGCTCACATTATAAGAGAAGTGCAAATTAAAACCACACCAGATGCCATTTTTAAAAATCCTATCACTTTGGTAAAAATAAAAATTTAACACATTTTGTTAGCCTGGGTGTGGAGATGGGCACTCATACGTTGCTGGTGGGAGTATAAACTGGGACAGTCTTTATAGAGCGTAATTTGACAGCATCTATTAGAATTATAATTTGTGGGGCCTCTTTGATTCAACAGTTCCAAATCCAGGAGTTTATCTTATGCTAAATAGAAATGAAGTAACTTAGTGAAGAATTGTTTATAGTAGCAAAATATTGGAAACAACCTAAATGTTCATTATGGAAGACTGGTTAAAAAATTATTGTCCATTCACATAATGGAATACTGTGCAGTTGTAAAAAAGGATGAGGAAACGGCTGATATGGAATGGTGTAGATCATTGATGGTGAACCCATGACATGCGGACTCATTTTTTTGGTTGATTTTTCTCTGTTAAATGGCATTTAAATATATAAAATAAATATCAAAAATATAAGTCTTTGTTTTACTATGGTTGCAAATATCAAAAAATTTCTATATGTGACACCGCTCCAGAGTTAAGTTAGGGTTTTTCAAAACGCTGACACGCTGAGCTCAAAAGGTTCGCCATCACTGGTGTAGATACTTGTTAAATGGCCCCCCCCCCCCAAAAAAAAATGTAGAATAGCGTGTCGTGCTGCCATTTGAGAAGAAAGGAGAATAAATATACAAGCATATGCTGCTCGTATTTTCATATAACATCTTTGGGAAGGATTCACAAGAAAGTGATAACCTTAAGTTGCTTTGAGAGAGGTGGGGGTAGGCATTCCCTTTAAAAAAAATGTAAAGTTTTAAACCAGCGGTTCTCAATCTGTGGGTCGCGACCCCTTTGGGGGTTGAACGACCCTTTCACAGGGGTTGCCTAAGACCATCTGAAAACACATATTGAATATAATTACATATTGTTTTTGTGATTAATCACTATGCTTTAATTATGTTCCATTTGTAACAATGAAAATACATCCTGCATATCAAATATTTACATTACGATTCATAACAGTAGCAAAATTACAGTTATGAGGTAGCAACGAAAATAATTTTATGGTTCGGGGTCACCACAACGTGAGGAACTGTATTAAAGGGCCGCGGCATTAGGAAGGTTGAGAACCACTGTTTTAAACCATAAAAATGAAAAAAAAAATAGAAAGGTAAAGAACAGTGTAGAAGTTAACAAAGTCTATATATTCAGTTTATAAATTCAGACATGTTTTTATTTCTTAGTGCAATTTCTTGGGCTAGACCTTGTGAAGGGAATTCTTTTTCTATCTTGGGAACAATTTTTTGGATTTGTGAAGTGTGTTTTATTGCTTCTCTTTCCTTTTAAATCTTTATTGGCTAAACGACTGCACAGAAGTAGACTGTCATCTTAAAATTGTAGGAATTTACTTGTGGTCAAGTAATCCATTGCCTTTTACAGTTTCATTTTTCCAGAGGGTCCTTTGACTAGCTTTGAGTTGATAGCTGTATGAAGACAAAGACTTTGATACCACAAAACACTGAAGCCCCCCACTTTTTTCGCTAGTACATGTCAGAAAAGCAGTTTTTTAAGGGATTTTAAACATTTCCATGGGCTTTTGACTTGTGACAGATGTCTTTCATGAGGGATAAATTATATTTGGACTCATCTTTTATAGAATATCAAGGGAAACAAAGCAGATGAATCTTCCTATATACAATGCCTTCCCAAGACAATAAACACCATTCTCCAAAAACTTTCTACACTGGTGATAGACTGAACATGAAGACATGCTTATCTGTAGCTTGACATTTTTAGCACGTCAAAGTCCTCGTATAGGTAGGAGATCCAGTTATTGCTATTCAAGAACAACTAAAAAGGACTATTAACAATGCAAATGCCAAGTTACATCTGATAGACAATAAAATGGTAAGCATATTTGTGTATTATTTAAGATGGGGGAAAATGGCTTTGCCTATTTTTTATTACTTTGAATAGCCTTGGAACTAATTT